AAATGTTAGCTTTAACTAATTACATACATACGTTGTTGATGCATGAAGCGCACATCATCAATCCTTCCATATTTCTTCATTATCACGCGTGATTGAGGGGTGCTGCGACTGTTTTTGAACGAAAAAAAAAATTGAGATGCTTAAAATCGTAAGCAGTCGGGAAAAGTTTTGTGAGAGGTACCGCTGGGGTAATGAAACATTTTGTCAAGAGTTTTTCGAAAGCGGGTCTGCTTCTGATTATAGTTTCATTTAAAACATCTGGGGTTGTAAAAGGTCTTTAATTATCAAAAATCGAGAAAAGTTTTCAATTCATTCAACATATTAGGATAAAGACACAAAATTTTCAAAAATTCAAGCAAAATAAAAGTCGCTACCAGGGTTTGAAAAAATTTAAATTTTATAAATCGTAATATTCGAAAAAATTTATACTTGAAATCTGATAAATTTGATATATTATTGAAACTGGTACATATAAATAAATCCAAACACTGCGACCCTTATTTTTTTTAATTTTCGTAGAACGTAGAAAATTTACAGTTTTCCTTGCCGTGCGAGTAATTTTTAATTTTTTTTTATAATTTAATAGAATTTCCCCTCAGTTTTTGCTTTTTTGTTACCCTAATATTTGACACGTAACAGTTCATAAAGTTGTACTGCGTATCGCCATTTCGGTAATCCTAAATTTGCATCGAAGTCGATTGTTTTTTGTTTTGCTAAAAATTACTTGTTTTCTTTTTATTTTCACTTCGATTCTTAGAATATTTTATTCTGAACCCACTTCAAAAAAGGGAGAAGGTTATCAATTCGTCGAATATATTTTTTTAAGTATGTTACCGCACAACTTTGAACCACGTTAACCGATTTCTATAACTCTTTTTAAAAGGTGTTACCGCAAAGGTGGTCCCATACTAATTAAATTTTTATACATATTTCTTGATAACACTGGAAGGGAATTTCGTCTCACAGGATCAGCATTTTTTTATATTTTTCTTTTTCTTATTATTAAAATTTTGATTTCTATTTAAGTTTTAAATTACCAAAAAATATGTCCATTGCTTATTTTAAAAAGAAAGTGTGTATATTTTGAAGTGACTTAAAATTATTTTAAACAACCAAAACATTACGGCTTTCCTTAAAGAAATTTTTTAATTCTTAATTTACCAAAAGTAAATAACGGTTATGTAAATTTTCAAATAGTTTCTCATTTCTTAAATAACAAACATTTATTTTGAATTTTAAAATCCTAAAATGTAACAGTTTTGTAATTTTCATATGACCAACAATTTTTGCAAAACCAAAAAATTATCTAAAATTTTTTATTACCACACGAATTATGTATTTCCAATTTTTTATTACCAGAAAAATATTTCCAATTTTTATTTACCAAAAATTTACGTCTAGTTTTTAAATTACCAAAAAGCTGTGTCAAATTTTTTTGTTATCAAAAATTTGTACCCTGTTTTTAAATTCCCAGAAGTGCATATGTTAAGTTTTTTAATTGCAAAACTTTATTTCCAGTTTTACATAACTAAATACCGGTTTTTAATTTACTTAAAATTTGTAAAGTTTTTAAATTACCATACATTTATATCTTACTTTAATTAACTAAAATTAAAAAAAAAACTAAAACTAAATATATTTTTTCAAATCCATATCTAAATTTTTTGGAGTAATTTGGTTTTAAGCCCCTAAGGATTTTTTAATTTTAAATTCTTTACTAAAAGTTTTTAATAAAATTTGTTGGGACTAATTGCAAAAAGTGTCTCCCCTTTTTTTGTGCCCCAGATTATTATACCATAAAAAATAAGTTGAGCTTAAAATTTCTTAAAAAACAGCACCACTCTTTTTAACATGCAAGCCTTGTGTCGCACTTAATCTTACACTTGTTTTCTAATAATTTTTTATATTTCTATTCTACAATTAAAGCTTCGACACCGGTACGCATCCTTCAAGCACCGCTGACTCCATCATCGAGCCACTTAGGTGAGTTAACGAAATTTTGCCTCAACACCTTCTATGGACACCTTTTTAATGCATTTAATTTCTCATCACTCTCATCGTACAGGGTGTCGCCAATGATACGCGACTTCGTGCAATCGATAGACGATCGGGAATGGCAGACACAACTCTTTGCGTTGCTACAAAAACAAACCTACAATCAAGTGGAAGTTGATCTCTTCGAGCTGATGTGCAAAGTGTTGGATCAGAATCTGTTCTCACAAGTGGATTGGGCTAGAAACACTGTCTTCTTTAAGGATCTTAAGGTGAGAGGGGGGGCCCGACAAAAAGCAAATGCGAAACAGCGCAACTGCTAGCCAAAAATTGCCAAAAGTGTAGCTTGAAATAGACGCCAGCCATTAAGTGCACAGCTCAAGCGCCAAAGCTACGTAATCCACGGTCAATTTGTTGTTGTCATTTCAGGCTTTGATTTTTTTTGTAAATAGTTTTCGTTTTTGGTTGCTTTTGCGTCTGTGATTTTCGTACGCGCGCGCTCGTATAGCGATTATGTAAACTCACACAGGTCAGAGGCTGAAGGCGCGGGGTGATGGTGTTGTAAGGGACGTGAAGCGACTACAGAAACAAACAAAAAGGCAGCTAAAAAGGCTGTAATGGCAGCAACAACCACACTTACTAAGTCTGAATTAAGTTTCGATTTCGTTTGCTCGCTCATTTTGGCACTACTGTTGTTGGTGTTGCTTAGTTTGTTGTTCTTTTTGTTGTTGCTGTTGTTGTTGTTGCTTGACTCGCTCGCTGACTGACTGATTGCTTGGCTGACCTACTTACCAACCAAAGCTGAACGAAGTGAACCGAACATACATACAAGCAAACACACATACACAAACACGGACAGACAGAGTCACACAATCACACTATCCCACAAAAGTCGGCTGTAGTCAATTCATGCTGTTCATATGACGCAACAACACACATTGCACAAAGGTTTCACCAACACAGCAACCAACAATTTGGAACGACCAAGTCGATTTGCGA